GTACAAATGACAAAGAGAAGGGGAGAGAGCGGATCACCCTGTCTAAGCCCTCGGGAAGAGGAAAAGTACCCCGCTGGGGTCCCATTCATTAAGACCGAAAATGATGCAGATTGGAGGCATTCCTGAACCCATCCTCTCCAGGTCGAGTTAAACCCCATTTTTTCCAAAACCCCTAGAAGAAAGGGCCATTCGACTCTATCATAGGCCTTTTCCATATCAACCTTTAGAGCCATATATCCCTTCTTCCCTCTGGTTTTGATTTTCAGGTAATGCATTAACTCGTGCCCTAAGAGAATGTTATCCACAATCTGCCTCTCCCGAATAAAAGCATTTTGGCCATCGGAAATAATTTGCGGTAGAATACCAGCAAGCCTGCCTGCCAAGATTTTAGTAATCACTTTATAAACAAATTGGCAGAGACTAATAGGACGCAGTTGCCGCATAGACTCAACTTGGTCCACCTTAGGAATTAGCGTCAACCACGTATGATTAAAAGACTAAGCCTCTCTTATTTCCTTCAATCCTTAGTTGGATTTTTCTGAGTTCGGCTTGTTGGCCGGAGAGGGAGGGAGAGATAGTACATTGACAGTGACCAACTGTGAAATGTTCAACTTATTAAAAGACTACTCAATTGTGTGGTGTCAAGGAACTAGTATGATGCTTGTATGCTATTGGCTTATTGTCGAGTCCACGATCCTTTTTGTCGGGTCGACAACAGCATCGCAGCATCGTGTTCCTCATGCGTAATCGGGATCATCAACTGTATAGTTGATCCCCATCGACAAAAAAAAAAACATCATTGATTTGATTAATTTTATCCATCTTCGACGACTCGACCAAGTCACAACTTACCCTAACGGGTTTGTCGGTTCGGTTAGCCATGTTGGGTCTAAGAAATGCAACTAACCCCCTCAAATTACCCTCTTTGTCTGATCGACAACCTCATCGCAAGATCGTGTTGACAACCTCATGTGTTATCTGGATCAGCGACATAATAGTTAATCCTCATTGATAAATAAAAAACAAATAACGTTATTGATTTGGTTAATTTATCTATCTCTGACTACTCGGCCAAGTCACAACTTAGCCTAAAGAGTTTGTTGGTTAAGTTAGCCATGTTGGGTCTAGGAAATCCAATTAACCCCCATATGAGAATGAGACCCCCTCAAATTACGACTAAGAAGCAGTAAAAAAAAAAAATACTCCTTGGCAACAAAGGGAAATTGAATATTTTCCGCCGGCCCTCCGCCACCAGGAGGCGCGTGGGAGACTGGAAAGTAAAAAAAAAAAAATTACACGGCGGTGCGGTGGCTATAAATGTAAACAACGAGTTCTACCTTGTTGACCGCTTCATCTGGAGATTCGTGTCAGTATCGCACGTGTTGACTGACCGTCCGATCACGTCTGCTATTAAATAAATGATATATTTCATTTTTATTAATTTATGGATTATGGAGCGGTGGCGGATGAGACGGCGGGCCCCACGTAGACTGCTGGCGCTGAAAGTGGGGGGCCGGCGGACTGAAAGAAAGCGCGGCTGCCGCTTTTTGTTTCGCGTGGGCCCCACTCGCTGGCGTTTTTTTTGTCGTCGTCCTCCTTGCCGTTTCTTTTTCTACGCCTAATTTCCGGTTTCCCATTTGTCTGGTTTTGTATCGCCTGATATTGAGAAAGCAGAGTTTGTTACAAGCTTTGTCTTCGGGAAACAAGATGTGTCGACAACTGCGACAAGGAAATTTCCTTCCAACTTTTGGAGTGAACTTAAGAAATTGAAGTGTGAACTCTACTCAGGGAAGGGATGGTCAGCTAATGAGCCTGGTCAAGTAATTTCTTATTCAAATTTTGCTCGTTTATTAACACATTGAGTCGAGATCGAGTTTCGACTAATTCGTTAGTAAAAACGTTGGTTCTTTATTAAGATTACAAGTTCACCTCAAACTCAATTAATTTATTCAATATAGTTGAGTCATTAAACTAAACTCTAAGATAATTCATAAATAAAATGGCTAATATTGGTATGTTATGTATGATACATTGATACATGTGATTAACTGATCTCATGTTTATATACTCTGTTACTATCATATCATATAGTTTTCAAATGTTTACTAGTATATATAATGTAATTTTTTAGTAATTAGTATATAAACAATCTACGATACTTAACTTATCTTTTTATTTATTACACATATGCTCACATACTCAAAGTCTTAAACATCGTACGAGGTGCGATATACAGTTTAACAAACCTCCAAAAACAAGCGAACTTTTTACCCAAAAAAAAAAAAAACAAGCCAACTCATAAAAGGTATCAGTCGATTTTCTCATAAGCAGGCAGGTGAGAGCTGACTTGCTATTCACAATGTTGCGAGACATCTCATGAGCTCGGACCGATTCAATTCACGAGTTGAGATCAACAAGCCACCGAACCGAGCTGACTTACAAGTCTCGCAAGCCGAACAAGACTTATTAGCTCAAGGTCAAACCCGACTCTTTAACAAACGAGTCAAAATTTTCTCGAATTGAACAATCTTTTTCTGGCTTGTAAATACTGTTGACATAAAGTTATCTACCTGAATTTGTTGTTGGTGACCTTCGGAATTCAGTGACCGGAAACGTAATTGGGCGGAGAGGGAACAGCGACGGGGAAGAAGAAGAAGATTCCCACATTAGCGACAAAGTACATGACATATACCCAAACACCAAGCAACCTCTTTTCTTTTTGGAGGGGAATATTATTATTATATTGTTGAGGAAAGTAACGGCGGCGAAGAAGAAAGAAGAAGTCGTGAGGTGGCGACGTGTCCGTCGGATAGCGACAGGCAGTTGAGCTAGCCGGCGGTGGGTCGTCGTGTTTCCCTGGCTACCACCACCACCAGCCTCTGCTTTTTTTTTTTTACGGCGGGGCCCATTCTCCACTTTCCCCCACCGCGACGGCAGATCCCGCGTTCTGATACGCCACGTTTACCCACCTCTTTTTTTTGGCACACTAGGCAATAAAATAAAACCCCTTTTTATTTATTTCAATATTGGGCCCAATGGCGGGCCGCTTTAATTAATTTTTGAAATTCATATTTTTATTTTTGAACGTACATGAGGGATGCCGGAGGAGTATATATATATAAATTAAGTGACAGCTGTGTCGTTCATTTGGGGAGTATATCAGGGGTATTTATTTGATTAAATCTTTTCCTGCTCATAGATGATAATTTTATTCACGACTCATCTTGATAATAAAGTGAATTCTCGTATTTAAGTGTGTCATATCCAGGTCCATAAAATCGTACCGTATCGGTGGTTCAACCACGAAATACCAGTATCGAAGACTCAATCGATAGGTGGTATTTAACAGTCTAACGGTTAAACTACGATTAAACCACGATTTTATTGTAAAATTTCATCCCGCTCACTTTTCCAGTACGATATCCGGTACGATTTCATGGACCATGATCATATCTATATAAGTTATAAATTATTTGTACATGAAACGGTGGAAATGTATTGGAGACGAGATTAGATGTCCACATCCCTTCCCCCCTTATTATATCGGATATGCATTCCATATTTCCATCATTATATTTAGGTGGACATTGGAGCCGTATCAAACCTAATTGACACCAGAACCTATGTGCTATTCCGTTTGGAAATTCGATCGCACTGCCATATCGACCAACAGAATGTCATACCGAACAACTGAACCCCCCACTTAACCAATGTACAAACCTTAAACTAACTTTTTTTCTCAACTCTCAAATTCGTCCAATTTTGATTGGAAGTGCGTACTGATTAATTTTTTAGGAAATAGATAAATTTCTCAAAGCATGAGTAGTTGGCCATTGCAGATATCCCACTGATAAAAAAGGATAATAGTTTTTTTGGTGGAGGATTAGGTGCGGGCGTGGAGCTTGTTTTGTTTTGTTTTGTGGGGGCGGCGGCTAAAATGCTTTTAATTTGTTTGTTAATACTTAATGGCAAATAATGTTCTTTCTAAGTAGTGGACTTGTGTTGCCCGCTGGAGATGACAAACTTTTGCTGTTCCCTCATCGGTGGCGCACTACACAACACTACACTATACAACCTTAGCATCTCCAATTCCAGAAAGTTGAAACCAAACCACAATGTCAATATGTTTCCCCTGCATCCACTGTCGCCACAACCACGAATTGGGACACTACGTAAGTGATGATTGAGCTCAGTTGTTGGATCGAATTCCTTGGAGATTGGAGATTGTGTCGGGTCGATTCCAGAGTGAAGGAGACATTCTTTGTATGCGTACATAACGTTTTACGAGGAATTTTATACTTAAGTTTTTGCCCTTATGGTACAATTTTGGATTGTACATGTACTCTTTTGTAAAATTCGTTTATGGTACAACTTTAATTTTTTACTTTCAACGTTGTGGTACAACTTTAATTTTTTACTTTAAACGTTGTGGTACAACTTTAAGTTGTACTTTAAAGCACCTATATTTTAAAGTATAGTAGAACTGTTCAACAATCCAAATGACTATGCTATTTCGGGTTTAATTGAGTAATGAGTACTACGAGAAGTGAAAACATCTCATAATCAAAGCTAAAAGAAGATGGGTACAATCGTAAGTTAACAAATGATATGTTTATAGTAACATTTACAATAACGGGCTTTAGTATGCCAGAATAACCTAAATGTATCTCTGGTTTCGATTTGTTTGAGCATCAGAAGAAGTAATGTCTCTCATAATCATATTGTACAAATGAAATTTCATCTGAGATTAATAATTGAAAATTTATTCTATTGTCATATTACGAAACAATCAAATAAAGTACCTTCGATCGTTCGAAGTTTGAACACGGTGATATCATTTACCAAATTCCACACCAATAAAACTTGGCTAGTTAAACATCAACATGCAAAATTTAAGTTAGGGGATTAATTAGAACTTTCAGCTTAAACAAAAAACAATTAAAAAGCCACTTAATGGAATTCTGCGGTCAAAACGTTAGTATTAGAAGTTTTTTTTTTTTTGTTTTTTTAAAAAAAGGAGAATTCACGCGAAGCCCCCAGCTGGATGCCTGGAATCTGGATCAGTCCAAAAGTTCTGGTGGTGCGAGAGTTGGAAGATAAAAAAAAAAACCGAGTGGTCGGAGCGACCCGGCGACGGCGGCGGCGGAGTTCAGAAGATGGGACGACTGTTTGTGGTGGAACTGGATGGCAGGTGTTACCGCTGCAGATTCTGCGACACCCCTCTTGCTCTTGCCGACGACGTTATCTCCCGGGTACAACCAATTTTCAATCCCTAATTCCTCCCTTTCCCCGTGCAATTCGGAACCCTAACTAGCCGCAGGATCTCGGATTCGATTAGCGACTTGGGATGATTTATCTATGAATTGAACTGTAAATCATCCTTACTCAGCTCCAGTTAGTTTACCTTGCCGATTTCTATGTGTAAAATTAGCAGGAATAGGAAAGAACAAAGTCATCAGCTTTTCATTTCTATGTTCGATTTTGTGACGACCCAGTAAGTCAATTCTTCGAATTGAATCAGTATTCATCCTCTGTTTTTGGTGGGCAGACGTTCAATTGTAGACAAGGGAGGGCGTACATGTTCAGCAATGTGTGAGTGTAGTAACCCTTGCTTTAACCCCCATAATTGTTGAACAGCAGAGCTATTCTTCTTTGCTTCTCTCCCATGGTTACTAATGTTATCCTTTTTGTTCTGTCCTGATATTCTTGTAGAGTGAATGTAACAGTCGGAATGGCTGAGGAAAGGGTGATGCTTTCGGGTACCCATACAGTGGAAGACGTCTTCTGCTGCCGCTGTGGAGAAATTCTCGGGTGGACTTATGTAAGTCCAATCTCGTCGAACAAGAACCGATATTTGAGATTGAGCTCAAGGTTTCTGGTTTTCAGTGCATGTAGTGAATGGGATTCGAACATGGTTTGCGTTTGTATTGCGAATGCAGGTAGCTGCGCATGATAAGAACCAGAAGTACAAGGAAGGGAAGTTTGTTCTTGAGAGGTAAGTTTCTCTGTTCTCCCCCTCCCCCAGTCCTCTAGCATTATGGTATACCGTATACAACACTGATGCTGAGCTGATAAATACGATCAGGTGGAGAATAGCCGAGGAGGTAATGGAGGAATTGAGTCTCGATGGTGGTCGTGGTGGTTCCAGCGATCCGGAAAACTCATGAGGTAATTAGTCGGCTATGCTGCAGAATCCAGTAACCTCTCATAACAACTAGTGTCTGGTAGTAGTATAGAAAGTTTTGTTAACAATCATGCTTCCTGCCGACATACAAGTTCTTCCCCTTAAGATGTTGTATGTTAAGCTCTCCTGTTTGTTTAAACAGTTGGGTTCTAGGGCCAGCCGCTACTCTGTGCAGCCATCATCTTACCCTTGAAAACCCTAATAAGTTAGTGGAAATGGTCAGTAGAAGTAGGATGATACAACAATCTAAACTTATGAAACCACATTCCGGCATCAGCAGCATCAGTATAACTTCTCTTTTCGGTTTTGAATGTTCCTTTCCTTTTGGGGTTCTTACTGTAATCCTCAATCGAGAGAGTTCCCTTATCATCCCTTCATGCTCGATTCCTCCAACGGTTATAGGCAATTGGAGGTCTCAGCTTAATCGAACATTGAGAATGGTCCCGAAGCAAGGAGCGAAACTGCTTGTGAAAGTCGGAGAATGGTTTTTGGTTAGCCATACACTACTCATTTTATTAGGTTTCCATTCAGCCGTAAAAACCGAGAACGTATTTCCAACCTTACCCCCCATTGTGGTTGTATCGATCAATCTCGGGCTCGAATTTGCCTTTCATGTATGTCTCATAAACAGCTCCACCGGCAATGGTTGCAATCAATCTCTGGGTGGTATTCATGCGGAAGCCCCATTGGACAACAATGCTTTGGAGTGAAGAAAATGATAATAAAAAAAAAAAACCGGTTGGCAAATGTGGTTGGACATTGGAATGCCACCATCACCATGAATTATTGAGCTAAAGAAACAAAAGATAGAATAAGTATAGTTTGGTTGGTTGGATGTATTAAATCCGAAAGGACAATGTTGGATCTGTTTTGTGGATTAGATTTGTGACCATGATAGTGGGTCGGACCCCTTTGGTCAGTTGCCCCATTATTTGGGGTCAAACCTTTCATCCCAATCCCTTTAGGCCCTTACTATTAGGGGTGTGCAATGGTTCGGTCCGGACCGGACCAAACTCATGAGAACCGCGGTCCATTAGTGAAAGACATGTTAGGATCAAGGACCGGACCATTCTTGCATTTGGTCCATTTGGTCCGGTTCGGTCCGTTCCAAATATGAGCTCGGTCCACCATTTCTTCAGTAATTATAAAATTCATTAGGACCGGACCGCATTTTACTCGGTATGGTCCGATCCGGTCTTAACAACGGTTTGGTCCGGTATGGTCCGGTACGGACCGGACCATTGCACACCCCTACTTACTATAGGGTGTTGCTAAAGTAATTGCTCACCCAACTTAGGGGTCCCAATCCATTGCAATAATCTAGCATTTTCTTTTATTATTGCAAATTAACATTCGGTCTAGTGATAATATCACTGATTTTCAATTTGGAGCTTTAGTTTTGAACCCATTAAGTAATTCTCAATTACGAGTCATTGATCTTTAATCTGAATATTTTAGTTCGAACTTTTTAAGTAACATCTATGAAAAATCAAACTCATATTACGTTATAAAAAAATTATAGTATTTTTCTATAGTACTAATCCAAGTATGATGATAATCTAAAATGGGGATATTCCTTATATATTCCAAATAATAATGGGAAAGCGTGTTATGCGATGTAGCTTGCCGGCAAATGTTGGGGACCCATAGGCGACTCATCAGGCATTATCATTGGGCCCACAATCCAGTCCATCTAAAGTCCACAGACGGCTGGCTGCTGGATGGGGACGGCCCACTGTTTCCACGAATTAAACACGCGTCTTCTTCTTTTTAAGGTGTTTGAAAATTTGTCCATTCCTGGGAAGCACCAAATATATATCATGATTGTTATCCCAATCGGCCCAGTGTTTTGGAGAACGGTATTGGCAGCATCCACGTACGCAAACCCTCAACAGTCAACAATCATTTTCATTTTTCACATATGAAAGCTTCAACAAACTTTAAAAAGGTTTTATGGCTTTTTTTTATACCTATTGGCTATAACCTTCTATGATTTACCATATTTGATTAAACGTTTATTAGCATATGATTTTACCATTGCCCAATGCCTACAAAGTGTGTGGGGGGATAAATTTTAGTCACAAACCTATTTACAATTTCACGTTGCCACCACGGCGGTTGTAACTAACGTCGCGTTTGATATGATTCGTACCACGATCGATTACAATTTATAATTATAATTTGGGTTCTGAATTCGGAACTAAATATATTTGTGGCGGTATTATTTAGTTGTTTTGGAGTTTTCGATGTTCATTTTTTTAGTTTTCTCGCTCGTGGATTATAAAACATCTACACATAAATTTAAGCTTTCATTATGTTCTCCGCTTTTCTTCTTATCCCATATTCTTATTCGCATTCTCTTCTCAATTGTATCTATCTCCTGAATTCTAGTCACTAATATGATACAAAAAAAATCACATAATCGCAATAGATTTTTTCTTATTAGAAAGAAAAAGTTGCTTTAGAGCCTAATGTAACCACAATCGAGTGCCCACATGTTGATCATGGTGGTAAAAAATAACTCCTCTTTTTTTAGCCACTCAAATTGTAATAGGTTTTAATTGATGTTGGACCAAATATTATTATATTACATTATTACAACAACAAAAAAAATCAACCAACCAAATCCCACTTTATTGATTTTAATAATAATAAAATAATAACAGCACGATCGTGTCGTTGTAAATTGTAATGATAAGTTGATAACGCCGTTTCTGCCCGCCATTACCAGACACAGGCGGACGCGGGAAAGCCATCAGCAGATTGGCGGTAAAATCATATAACAGAAGAAGAAGAAAACAAAAAGGACAGTTGTTGAAAGATAACAGGACCGAGATTTGAATCTGATTAAGGTATGAATACGACAAAGTACAGTTAACGCCCGGGCTGCCGCCGGCCATCGCGGCGGTGCCGACACGGGGGATTGACAGCGTGAGATACACCCACATGCCCATCCCGCTGCTCTGACAGGAAGTTCGAATTTCGTTTCGAGAGAAAAAGCGGTGGTTGGAGATAAAACACCGCCGCGATGGATCTCGGATTTTTATTTATTTATTTTTTTGAATTCTTGTCTTCTGGTTTATTGAGCTGAGCTGGCAGATCAGAGAAGGGGGATACGGTGGGTGGCGAACTGGCGACGGTGGGAGAGAGAAGGAGGGAGGGGCCCCGGTGGTTTCTGGTGGAATTTAATTTCCGGCAACCGTGCGGCGCTGCCACGTGACAGTGCCAGCCCACGCCCCACTACGCAAAATTAAAGTCGCCATCTCTTTCCCCTCTCTCTCCCTATGTCTCCGAGCAGAATCTGGATTTTGAGGAGTGTTGATGATGAGTATAGGATTAGATTGGGGACCACCGGAAGGAAAATGGCGGGAGAGGTGGGAGGCGGTCAAATCGGTCGTTTTGTGTCATAAAGGGGAGGTGGGTATGAAATGACCGGGCGGCTGGTGGTCGGTTTGGTCTGAGCCGGCGGAGCTACCCGGCGGCGAAGGCGCGGCTCTTGGTTTTGCTTAGTAATTAGTTTGTGGTTGATTAGGATGCAATGCAGCTTATGCAATAAATTGACTTAAAATTACCGTATCTCGTAATTGGTGTATCATTTGGAAATACTTAATCATTGATTCTATCTATTTAAATTGAAGCAAAATAAAGAAATTCAACTTGTCTCAGCTCAATTGTTGCATTACGATTAAGTCTTACGAAACAAGATGATTTGGTCCAATTTTTTAAGTTTCAGACAATTAAACCAAATTTAGTGATTCCTCAGTAGCCTCTACTTTTTTTTAACTGTAATTTTTTTTTGTTTATTCCTCTTTTTCTATTATGAATTTACTATTATTTACAGACTCCGTCGCTGGGCCTGGACATTGGGCCTCGGCTCATTTATTTCCCCATGCTTCCTTTGTGTGTGTTGGAATTTAGAAAGGTAATCTATTATAGGTGTGGAAGAAAACAAGATCGTTGTGCCAAAAATTGAAATACGCCAATGTATTTGGATAGTAGGAGCAAAGGGACATTAAAAACAACAGAAAATTCACTACATTGTCTTGCCTCACTATTATTGAAGGAAAGCAATCTTTGATTCGACAAAGAATAATATACGACATAGGTCTAATATCAAATGCAAGAAAGTGCGTACTGATTAAAAAAAAGAGTAAAAAACACATGCCCAAGTGGTAGTAATAACTTAGAATAATGTGTGTGCCCTTGTTGTTGGTGGATATTAAGTATGTCAGCCTGGAGCTTCCTTTCTATTAAAAGAACAATTAGATCTAGAGAACGGCAGTTAATGAACCTAATTGTTCGCTGAGGTGTAAAGCCGAGGATTTGGCAGGAACAACCCAATCATAATTGAAATGCTGTGTATAGAAATTTGGGCCGAAAGATATCATAAATTCAGGATAAAGCCCACTCAAATATAGCAAGGCCCACGATTAGTAAAGTTAGAACAGTTTGGTTCGCTCATGTTCAACCGAAGATACACGCACAAAGGAGCGAGTGGAGTAAAAAGTTAAAAACTAGCTCCGGTCCCTACTTTTCTATTAAACCAAAAAATTCGTAGTCTTCGGTTGCAGCCTTCACCAGATTGGGTACCAAACCGAACAATGCTAAGCCCACACGCTTGCCAATAAGTACAGTTTGCTCATCGCCGACCCTCACGTGTCCAGCGCGTGACCACCGAACTTTCGGCAACCTCCAGTGGGAAGTGGGAATCAATGGGGCGGCGCCAAATAGCCGGTGCAAGCAACGACAAAAAAGAACCGGCTAAAACGACGGCGGATAATCACGTACTAACTGAAAGCTTAACTTAAGCTCATAAGTCATAACAATAATAATTTACACCGAAAAGGTAAAACCCTAATAAAGAGACAGACGGAGAGGCGGGCACTTAGGTTAAAAAAGCAAGGGTAAAGTAAAAAAGCCTAAACCAGTCAAAAAGAGAAAGAAAAAAAATTACATTAATTAATTAGTTACCGCAGCCCACCGCCGAACTAAAATTCACAACCACAGAGGCGGAGGCTCGTTCAAATCAACAGGCAGGCCGCGCCTCCTCACGATCCCCAAAACTGACGGCGGAGGAGCGGCGGGGTTGATCCCCGCCGCATGAGGTGCCGCGACGGTGACGGGTTTCTCGGCGGCGATCTCCTTGAGGACGCCGGTCTTAAGGAACTGGCCAACGGAGAAGCGGGGGCCGGCGGAGAAGCGGGGGCCGGCGGAGATGGCGGCGGTCCAGCGGCGGTGCTGGTGGATGAAGTGGTGATGGTGGTTGTTGGTCGAGTTGAGATCTAGTGACAGGCTGGTGGAAGGAAGGGCGGCGGCGGCGGAGATTGATGAGATGGAGGAAGAGGCGGCGGCGGCGGCGGGGGAAGGGGAAGAGGGGAAGTTGGTCTTGGCTTTGGTTCCGCGGAGGGAGCGGGCGGCGCCGTCGTAGGCGAGGGCGGCTTCTTCCGGGGTGTCGAAGGTGCCGAGCCAGACGCGGGTCTTCTTCCACGGGTCGCGGATCTCGGCGGCGTAGCGGCCCCACGGCCGCTTCCTGACGCCCCTGTAGTGGGCTTCTGATCCGGTGGCGGAGGACGACGACATTGGAGGCAGCAGTGAGAAACAGAGGAAGAAAGGAAAGGAGAAGTGGTATTTAAAAATAAAAAGTGACGAGGAAGGTGAAAAGAAGTCCAATGAGGGAGAGTCCATTGATCTAGATCAGTGGGGAAGTATTTTATTTTAAAATTTCCAGTTACGGAATGGATAACACCTATAATCTAAATTGTCCGGCTCGATTCGGTCATGAATTGAATTGGAATCAACTCGGACAGATTTAATTTGACTCTGTGTTGGTAGCAAGATGAGTTTCCAATTCTCGAGTCGAGTGAGCTAAGGATGCTGCCGAAGTTCGGTCAAAGTAAAACACAATAATTGAAACTCGATCGATAATTAAATTTAAACATCATGTTGCGCGTGTAAATGATAGGCCGATGAATAACGGTGAAAGAATAAGATGTAGTACAAACGAGAAATTGTCTGTAATGAAACCGAGTGAACCCAATTCTAAAGCGATTTCTCTCAGAAGATGGAAGATTTAAATGACTCACACACATCCTAAGTTGGCAACAAAATATTGTATGGTTTAGTTAGACATTCAGTTGGCCAACTATGGGAAGGTTGGGTTACGGTTTGATCCCTTTTTTGCACGACAAAAACATTACAAAATGTGGATCAAACCGGTCAAGTTTTGTATGATTTGCGGTCTGATTCAGTCAAATAGTTAATGTTGGATTAGAATACACGACTAGGAATGGCAATGGGGCAGGTCCGAGACGGGTTTCTTGGTACCCAGACCCGCCCCGTAGCAGGTCGGGTACAAGTCGAGTAATTTATCACCAGTCGCAGGTCGGGGCAGGTCGACCCAATGGGTATGCAATTTATATGAAAAAAAACTTAGAAATATTTGTTATTTTTATTATAAGACCAAGAAAACAAACAATATTATGATAAATGTAGTTAAATTATTAGAGAAGTTGAGATTTTCGCTAATTTACAACTTTATTATAGCTAAATTATGATGTAATAAAAGAAAATTCCTAAGTATTTGACTAAGATTACATGTAATTTAGGTAAGAATGAGGCGGGTCGGGGCAGATCAGATTGATGACAGCACTCATGCCCACCCCGCCCCACCTATAAGGCGAGTCAGACCAGCACCAAAACAGTCCAAACATGTTGAGTAAAACGAGTCAGGTCAAAATTCCTATCCCTAAACACGACGCATTGGGCGAAAACAGCAGCCGCCTGATTAGACAAGAGATAGAATAGGGGGTTTGGGAAGGCGTGCGGGTCATGTGACCAGAACCAGAACCAGACCCGGACCAGTCTCCTCCTCCGCTCCCTTGTGGAGAAGGAGAAGAAGAAGAAGATGATGATGATGATGGCGTCAGCCCTATCTTCCCACCTCCTGTCGTACGGCTGCGCAGCCCCAGCGGGCAGCGGCGCCTGCCTCTTTTGTTTTCTTGCGCCATAGTAATACTACTACTTAATTTTATATGTACTGGGCAGTGAAAAATTGGTGCAGTTGCTAATTGCTGTAAGTGCCCCAAATTGTTCGTCCATGTCAGGAAGGAAGGAACTAGCTTTTACTCCATCCATTTTTGATACTGTCGCTGCCACCGATATTCAAACTAAATCTATTTATATTAAAAGGAAAAAAATCATAATTGCTTGAAGCCGATTAGAGAAGATTTAAATTAGTTATTAATTAGTAAAAGCCCAAGTGTGTTGAAGTTGAAAAGTGTTGGAAGTAATCATCAAAGCATAGCCCTAGCTAGCCATCATTTAGACGCCTTTAGCCTAGGGTTTAGGGAATCGGATATGATGTTGCACCAAAAACTATAAATCAATCTCACAAAAAAAAAAAAAATCATAGAAAATCTACTAAATACAAGATAGTAATTAGGGTGACAGTCCGTAGCAGATAGAACATACGTACGAAGCTGACAAAGAGGCCGAGAAACAAAGGAAAGGAAGCAGAAACAAAAATCAGCAATTGGGTTGGATGTTCCTAATTTGATTCAAAAATATTTCTGCTTCTTCATTCTTTTTGTGATTAGAATAACGAATGAGTAGAGTGTTCAAACCGCACCGATGATTATCTTATTTCATGCGAAACCGCGAAAAAAAATCATTTGGTTCATTTCTAATCTCCCAACCAAATGTGACGACCGTTAATTGTAGTTGCGTTAATGGGATTAAGCTTCGTAATTAGCTGTTGGTTTGGGGTGAGACCAGAGAGAGAGAGGGAGTCCCCACGTGGAGGATACATAGGGCTTTGGTGTCTGAGTTGCAGGAGACAGGACCGACTCCGCAAGCAAAGCAAAAAGCCCAGCCCAGTCCACCCCAAAAATAAATTAAAATCACAATAATATTAACTCGGAAAAGATAGAACTCTGGATTGGAGAGAAGAGAGAGATGGCGTGTTTGACTCAGTTTTTGAACATAGTAAAAAATTAATTTTTCAGTTTCCCATTTTCTTCATTTTCTCCTCGGCGCTGTAAAAAAATAAAAAGGAGGAAATGATTCGGTGGTGCGGTGGATATGACTGAAGACTCGCTGCTAAACTGACTGACGCTCCCCCCCACAGTTCACGTGATGTCTTGTTTTTTCACCGCTTTTTATTCTCTCTATTTTTTTTTTCTGACCATAATCTCTTTTATTTTTTCTTGAGGCCGTGCACCAATTATTACGTCAGTAACACGTGTGGGCCGCCTGCCGGCAGTACAGTCTCTCCAGGTGTCTTGGCTGAATTGGGCCATGCTTTCAGAAATGGGGAAAGGCTTTACGAGTGGGGAGGACCTGTCAATAATCATCCAACTTTACACGTTCAGCCCAGTCCATTTACTATAGAAAAAGCCCATGTTTCGAGCCCAAACGCACAGCATTTAGTCCAGTTGGGGAGAATGGATAAACCATGTAAATGGGTCCAACGTACCCGCTACCCGCACCGAATTTCTTCTCAGAGGAATAGGAAACATCTCTTCTCAAATTCCCCTCCGCAAAGCACAAACAAAACACCTTTTCCTCTTCTCCAATCCTCACGCAATTCCCTCGCGCTTCTTTCCCCACTGGACTTATTGCTGACCGGAGATCACGTGTGCTTCCGTTACTTCTTCGATTCCCCTCCAATGGCACCGTCGACCTCAATTGCCTCCGACCTGCCTGATTCCGATCCTGATGAATGCGTCTCCCGTGCGGAATTTGAAGAGGAAGAGTACGAAGAAGAGGAAGAACTAGAAGAAGAAGTGGAGGAAGAGGTGAGTGGTCCTGACGCATGCGAAATTGATCCCGGAGTGGATGACGAAGAAGAAGAGGAGGTAGAAGAGTATGAGGAGATAGAAGAGGAAGTAGAGGAAGAAGAAGAGGTAGAAGAGGAGGTAGAGGAAGAAGAATTGGTAGAAGAAGAGGAGGAAGAAGAAGTAGTAGAAGAAGACGAAGTGGTAGAAGAGGAGGAAGAAGAAGATGTGGCAGAAGGAGTTGCGGAAGGCGAAGAACAAGAGGTGTCAGAAGGAGTTGCGGAAGGTGAAGAACAAGTTGCGGGAGACGAAGAACAAGAGGTGGTGGAAGGAATTGCGGAAGGCGAAGAACAAGTTGCGGGAAGCAAAGAAGAAAAGGTGGTAGAGGGAGTTGCGGAAAGCGGAGAACAAGTTGTGCAAGCTGAAGAACAAGAGGAAGTGGATATGGATATAGAATCGTCCGAGGAAGCCGTAGATGAATCGCAAGGTTAGTAGTGAACCGAATAAGAATTGAGATTGGTGATTGTCTTCCAATCTGAACTGTAGGCTAATTACGCTGCTTCCAGTCGTGTTCATCGGTTGCCTGATTGCCTGGTTCTTTCGATTTGAGTATTTGCTTCTCATTTGCATAATTCGGGGAAGAGTTGTTTTGCGGTTTGAGTTAGATGTGAGCTCTTCTTTTCTTGATCTTGTTATTCTTTCATGTAGATATCAGTCGAGATATGAAGGTCAACGAGATTGAATCACAACTGAAACCTCAAGGCTCCACGAACATGGTTCCATTTCCTTACCATGTGGATCATATTGCCAGTGATTCCACATTTTCTGGTCCTTCAAATGCACCGCTGGCAATGCAAGGTGCCAATTCAGTTATGAACAATGGGCATTCTAAGCATCTTGAAGATGGAAAGGGTTCAAATGCTTCTGGTGATAGGAATGAGGTATGTAAGGAGGAAGTCATGGCTACTAAGCCTTCTAAGGAATCATGTATTAGAGATGTGCCGAACTTCCTAGGAGCGAGGGATAATGTCGATAAGATTGCAGAACAAGTTCAGCATACACCAGTGCCTTCAGACAATGGGGTCCAACAGTCAGTTTTGAGGTATAGGGATAGTAGCATTATTCTTTCTCTTATAGAATTAGATGTATGATGTTTGCACCAATCTGCCTTATACACCCTTAAAGCCTCCTATTATTCCGAGTGTTACTGAAAACTTCCCTTCTTACTAACCTCAGTCTTTCCAGATCCAGGAATCGAAGTGTATCACCATCTCCAGAATTGAACAATGTGAACAAACGCCAAGCAGTCATATGTGACTTTTTCGCCAAAGGGTGGTGCATAAAAGGGAGCTCATGTAGATTTCTTCACGTAAAGAGCAAACCCAGCGAGTCGGGAGGAAAACAGGCCGAGGGAGATGCAGCTGTGGCAAGTTCAAGTGGGGAAAAGGTTAATGAAGGTATAATAGGACTTCCCTAATTGGGTATTGCTAGTGAAGCGCATTCCTATTGAATGGCATCTAATGTGAAAATGCTTCTGGAACAGGCGCCGCTAACATTAGGCCAAGGTTGCATGATCTCAAAGAACCACCGTTTGGTTTAGCCGGAAAAGGTGCTATCGCTTCCCGTTTTTCTTTCGATAGCCAAATGGCTGCCCAGATGGGAGCAAAACCAATATCCTCCTCATCCATCCAGTTAGAGGATTTACCTGGTGGCATCACCCTCAATTCCCGTCAGTTTCTTGGATCAAAAGATGCTCCTGTGTTTTCTGCTGCCATTAAGGATGTTAGAACAGAAAATCTGACTGGAGGCTGGCCTCCTAATGACCATGGAAGCCATGCATTTCCTTTTAATGGAGGAAGTTCCTTTTTGCTTAACGATTCCTTGCTAAATAGATGTTCTTCAAGTGGCTCAGCTGGGAAGTCAAGAACCTACCACAGCAAGGATTCACATTTGTCAATGAACAATTTAGACAATTCAACACGCCAAAGGAGTGGCTGCATGGATGATGATTGTGTTGGCACTACTTCTAGTAGTGGTAAGTCCCAAATTCTCACATATACGAATTCCCAAACTTGCTCTTATCTGGAAAGATGACAGTTTAAGCATGTTTGTGTCTTATCACTTTTGCAGAACATAAACAGAAGGTTCCGTGTGATGAATGGGAACCATCTGTACCTTTCCAACCATCTTTCTTGATTACACCTGTTCTATCATCCCCAGGAAGGAAATATGATCCTTTACGTGATAGCAACGACTTGCATAGTGGGGTAGTCAAATCCCTCAAGTTCTCTTTTATCAGCAACAGATTCTCCACACAGAAAGCTTCACGTCAAGCAACAAATGGTGCTTCCTTCCCGAATGGCGACAGGAGTTCTGCACCTTTTGATAGCAGGTTACACGGGAGTTCCTCAGCTAACAATGTCGGTCCACCTGAAAAAGACACCTTCAACAAAACTGGAGGAGCGGTGATGGACATTGATGACGGTTTGGCAGATGATCAGAGTGGCACCATGCCGAAAGAAGAAATTGCCTCTGTTAGCAATCAGTTAGATGTTGATGAAAAGCCTAGAAGTGATGGGTCGAGATGCCAAAACAACTTTACGGCGGATAACTTGGATGATGGTGGAAAGATGGATCAGGAAGTGCAGAAAGAATCGAGATCCGCAAGACACTTCCGTACTGCTCTGATTGATTGTGTTAAAGAATTACTGAAACCAACATGGCGTGAAGGCCATCTGAGTAAGGATGCACACAACACCATAGTTAGAAAGTCGGTTGAGAAGGTTATCAGTACCATGCAATCAAATCAGGTCCCGACTACTCCGGAGTCGATTAAACACTATCTTCATTTTTCACGCACAAAGATTGCAAAACTTGTGGAGGTGAGCTCTGTGTTCTGGGGAAACGGCGGTATTTTAGAGGAAAATTTATGCATCTGATAGGAATTCGTCTGTGCTTACCATTTAAATGTTTTATGTTTCGTTTTTTGCAGGGGTATTCTTCTAGGTATGGAAAATCTTGAGATGGTGGTAGTCAGAATGGGATGCTTCCTAATGTACAGTTCCCAGAGATGCTAGTGTTGAAATGCAGCAGTAGGCTGTCAAGACTTTTTCCTAGCACAAAAGAAATCTCGGTTTCCAGTTCTTGGGACATTGAAAATGGAAATTAACTGGACTTTCAGGCCTATTTATCGCAGTGGACAAACGTGCTGATAATGAATCTAGTGATATTTAAAGGACCCAGGTTTGCTCACAAGTGTAACTTTTGTACACTAGTTCATTTCTTCATGAAATCCATCTGAAGAGTGCCTTCGTCGTTTGAGTATCCATTTTTGACCCCGTCCTTTTCCAGTTGCCTTACTAGAACTCAACAAAGTTTCTGGTTAACAACTATCTATTTTGTTTGTTGTGCTGCACATCACACAAATTACTTCATTTTGTTTAGTAGAAGGAGTACTCCAAAATTCGGGGGTCTTTATATTAAACCATTTTCAAATTTTGTGCAGTCTTCTGGCTTTACCTAAATTCAGAGGTCCTTCTAAGTAGAGGTGTCAATCGGACGGGTTTGGGTTGGGTTCAATAGGATTACAAAGTTAGACGGGTTTCGGGTTCGTTGGGTTGCGGGTTTGTCGGGTTCGAGTTAGTCGGGTAGTGGGTCATTCGGGTTGTGGGTCAGTCGGACTATGGGTCAATCGGATTTCGGGTTAGTCGGGTTATGGGTCAATCGGATTACGAGTACGGCGGGTTGCGGGTAGGGCGGGTTGCGGGTTATTGGGTCAGCGCATTAAGTTACTTACTTCCTACTCGTAACTGCAATTTGCACATTTTATTAACCTTTTTTTTTAAAAAACCAATAATTTTTAGACTATTTCTTTCCACATCGTATATGTAATATGTCATATGTACTTATTGAAGTTAAAAAAAAATTGAATCATGTTGTATGTCTTGCAAACTTGTCATGTAATTAATCGTAAATCGGTAAAGCACACTAGTTAATAATTATGATGATATAAACATTTTTATTTTTTCTCCTAATCCAACCACAAATTATATAGTGTATTATAAAAATATATAAGTAAAATTGTGGGGTGGAGGAAATCTTAATTTGGGGGAAGGAAATGAGGAGTTTTTTTGGAAGGAAATCAAAATTGGAGAGGGGAGGGAATGGGGAAATTCTTGGAGGGAAATGTAAATTGGAGGGAGGAGGAAATAGAGAAATTTTTTGGGATAATAAAGTCTATTGATCCTATTCTGCGGCGATGATTACGTCAATTAAGCACCGAATTGGGGCAATATATTTTGCGATGGCATTTTCGTAATTATTTGAGCAATTTTTTTCGAAAGACCATTTTTCTTGGATTTTGAAGGATAAAGTTGGTGGATTCGGCCTGAGGCTATTCATCAACGACGATTAAGTCCATCCAGTGCCAATTTGGGCGGATTTCTTTCGGGTCCATTTTTGGCAGACTCCAAAGGGGTACCATCACATATTTCGGGCGATTTATCCGAAATGTCATTTTCTTTCGATTTTGGAGGCTACAGATCACAGATTTGACTCAAGGCAATTCTACACCGATAATAAAGTCTATAAATCCTATTCTGCACCGATGATTAAATCAATTAAGCACCGAATTGGGCCAATATATTTTGGGATGTCATTTTCGTAATTATTTGAGGAATTTTTTTCGAAAGGCCATTTTCCTTGGATTTTGAAGGATAAAGATGGTGGATTCGGCATGAGGCTATTCTTCAACGATGATTTCTTCCGGGTCCATTTTTTGCAGACTCCAAAGGGGTAACATCACAGATTTCGAGCGATTTTTCCGAAATGTTATTTTCTTTCGCTTTTGGAGGCTACAAATCACGGATTCGGCTCGAGGCTGTTCTCCACCGATGATAAAGTTTATTGATCCTATTCTGCGCCGATGTTTAAGTCAATTGAGCACCGAATTGGGACAATATATTTTGCGATGGCATTTTCGTAATTATTTGAGCAATTTTTTTCGAAAGGCCATTTTCCTTGGATTTTGAAGGATTAAGATGGTGGATTCGGCCTGAGGCAATTCTTCAACGACGATTAAGTCAATCCTGGGCAAATTTAGGCGGATTTCTTTTGGGTCCATTTTTTGCAGACTCCAAAGGGGTACCATCACAGATTTCGAGCGATATTTCCGAAATGTTATTTTCTAGTGATTTTGGTCGCTACAGATCACGGATTCGGCTCGAGGCTGTTCTCCACCGATAATAAAGTCTATTGATCCTATTCTGCACCGATAATTAAGTCAATTAAGCACCGAATTGGGCCAATACATTTTGCGATGACATTTTCGTAAATTTTTGAGCAATTTTTTTCAAAATGCCATATTCCTTGGATTTTGAATGATTAAGATGGTGGATTCGGCCTGAGGCTATTCTTCAACGACGATTAAGTCAATCCAGGGCAAATTTGGGCGGATTTCTTTCGGGTCCATTTTTGGCAGACTCAAAAGGGGTACCATCACAGATTTCGGGCGATTTTTCCGAAATGCATTTTTTTTTCGATTTTGGAGGCTACAGATCACGGATTCGGCTCGAGGCTATTCTCCACAGATAATAAAGTCTATTGATCCTATTCTACGCCAATGATTAAGTCAATTAAGCACCGAATTGGGCCAATATATTTTGCGATGACATTTTCGTAATTATTTGAGCAATTTTTTTCGAAATGCCATTTTCCTTGGATTTTGAAGGATTAAGATGGTGGATTCGGCCTGAGGCTATTCTTCAACGACGATTAAGTCCATCCAGGGCAAATTTAGGCAGATTTCTTCCGGGTCCATTTTTGGCAGACTCCAAAGGGGTACCATCACAGATTTCGGTTGATTTTTCCGAAATGCCATTTTCTAGTGATTTTGGTGGCTACAGATCAAGGATTCATTTCGAGGCTATTCTCCACCGATAATAAAGTCTTTTAATCCTATTCTGCGCCGATGATTAAGTCAATTAAGCACCGAATTGGGACAATAAATTTTGGGATGGCATTTTCGTAATTATTTGAGCTATTTTTTTCGAAAGGACATTTTCCATGGATTTTGAAGGATAAAGATGGTGGATTCGGCCTAAGGCTATTATTCAACGACAATTAAGTCCATCCATGGCCAATTTGTGCGAATTTCTTCCGGGTCCATTTTTGGCAGACTCCAAAGGGGTACCATCACAGATTTCAGGTGATTTTTCCGAAATGCCATTTTCTTTCGACTTTTGAAGGCTACAGATCACGGATTTGGCTCAAGGCAATTCTCCACCGATAATAAAGTCTATTGATCCTATTCTGCGCCGATGATTAAGTCAATTAAGCTCCGAATTGGGCCAATATATTTTGGGATGGCATTTTCATAATTATTTGAGCAATTTTTTTCGAAAGGCCATGTTCCTTGGATTTTGAAGGATAAAGACGGTGGATTCGGCCTGAGGCTATTCATCAACGACGATTAAGTCCATCCAGGGCCAATTTGGGCTGATTTCTTTCGGGTCCATTTTTGGCAGACTCCAAAGGGGTACCATCACAGATTTCGGGCGATTTTTCCGAAATGCCATTTTCTTTCGATTTTGGAGGCTACAGATCATGGATTTGGCTCCAGGCAATTCTCCACCGATAATAAAGTCTATTGATCCTATTCTGCACCGATGATTAAATCAATTAAGCACCGAATTGGGCCAATATATTTTGGGATGGAATTTTCGTAATTATTTGAGGAATTTTTTTCGAAAGGCCATTTTCCTTGGATTTTGAAGGATAAAGATGGTGGATTCGGCCCGAGGCTATTCTTCAACGATGATTAAGTCCATCTAGTGCCAATTTGGGCGGATTTCTTCCGGGTCCATTTTTTGCAGACTCCAAAGGGGTACCATCATAGATTTCGAGCGATTTTTCCGAAATGTTATTTTCTTTCGATTTTGGATGCTACAGATCACGGACTCGGCTCGAGGCTATTCTCCACTGATAATAAAGTCTTTTAATCCTATTCTGCGCCGATGATTAAGTCAATTAAACACCGAATTGAGCCAATATATTTTGGGATGGTATTTTCGCAATTATTTGGATAATTGTTTTCGAAAGGCCATTTTCCTTGGATTTTGAAGGATAAAGATGGTGGATTCGGCCTGAGGCAATTCTTCAACGACGATTAAGTTCATCCATGGCCAATTTGTGCGGATTTCTTCCGGGTCCATTTTTGGCAGACTCCAAAGGGGTACCATCACAGATTTCGGGCGATTTTTCCGAAATGCCATTTTCTTTCGATTTTGGAGGCTACAGATCACGGATTCGGCTCGAGGCTATTCTCCACCGAAAATAAAGTCTATTGATCCTATTCTGCGCCGATGATTAAGTCAATTAAGCACCGAATTGGGCCAATATATTTTGGGATGACATTTTCGCAATTATTTGGACAATTTTTTTCAAAAGGCCATTTTCCTTGGATTTTGAAGGATAAAAATGGTGGATTCGGCCAGAGGCAATTCTTCAACGATGATTAAGTCCATCCGTGGCTAATTTGTGCGGATTTCTTCCGGGTATATTTTTGGCAGACTTCAAAGGGGTACCATCACAGATTACTGGCGATTTTTCCGAAATGCCATTTTCTTTCGATTTGGGAGGCTACAGATCTCGGATTCGGCTCGAGGATATTCTCCACCGAAAATAAAGTCTATTGATCCTATTCTGCTCCGATGATTAAGTCAATTAAGCACCAAATTGGGCCAATATATTTTGGGATGACATTTTCGCAATTATTTGGAAATTTTTTTTCGAAAGGCCATTTTCCTTGGATTTTGAAGGATAAAGATTGTGGATTCGGCCTGAGGCTATTATTCAACGACGATTAAGTCCATCCATGACCAATTTGTGCGGATTTCTTCCGGGTCCATTTTTGGCAGACTCCAAAGGGGGTACCATCACAGATTTCGGGAGGTTTTTCCGAATTGCCATTTTCTAGTGTTTTTGGTGGCTACAGATCACGGATTTGGCTCGAGGCTGTAATCCACCGATAATAAAGTCTATTGATCCTATTCTGCGCCGATGAATAAGTCAATTAAGCACCGAATTAGGCCAATATATTTTGGGATGGCATTTTCGTAATTATTTGAGCAATTTTTTTCGAAAGGCCATTTTCCTTGGATTTTGACGGATAAAGACGGTGGATTCGGCCTGAGGCTATTCATCAACGACGATTAAGTCCATCCAGGGCCAATTTGGGCGGATTTCTTTCGGGTCCATTTTTGGCAGACTCCAAAGGGGTACATCACAGATTTCGGGCGATTTTTCCGAAATGCCATTTTCTTTCGATTTTGGAGGCTACAGATTAACGATTTGGCTCAAGGCAATTCTCCACTGATAATAAAGTCTATTGATCCTATTCTGCACCGATGATTAAATCAATTAAGCACCGAATTGGGCCAATATATTTTGGGATGGCATTTTTGTAATTATTTGAGGAAGTTTTTTTG